GTTTGGAGGTACCAAGGAATGTGTATAATAGTACGGGATAAAACGATGAATATAAACCAAACACTGGAGGAACAGCTGCCAACATCGCATATGCAAGACCTGTTGAATGTAACAAATCAAAAGATAGAGAAATGATCAAATGAATATGCCCATTGATCAATGACATGAGTAAATGAGTAAAATAAATTAATAAATAAACAACAATATATAGTTAATATTATTTACTATATTTATAATAATTCTTATTATTACTATTAAAATAAATAAAATTACTGCTACTACTAAATAGACACATTTAATAAGATTTTAATATAATTATTCATTTTTAATATAAACCAGTTTTCAATAACATCTGACCTTGAGGTAGCTGCATTACACCTGTGCTGATGCCAGAAACTATGTCTCCAAACAAGTATTCCTTTAGTGGATATGATGGCAGCCATGTTAAAATGGGCAGGAAACCAAATACAACAGATCTGGCTTTCTCAGAAGAACAGCTGAAAAATAAGAGAGAGATGACTATTAGTATAAATATGTCATATGATTTTATTGTGCATATAAAAATTCTGCAAACAGTAAGAGCGGAGGAGAAGATTATCAGTTAATGACGACTTAAATTATAGTCCGTCTTTGTCCGTTAGGAAACTGAGTCATCAATTTATCCAGCTCAGATTGGGACAAGCAGGTTTAACAAAAGTAATGTCACAACTGTTGTGTAATACTAGTAGTGCTGCAATATTATATGGAGGATATGATAAAATAATAAGACTGTCATAAATGAAAAACAGTTGTTTTATCAGTCCAAACTTGATTTTCTAAAGTTCAGATAACACTTGAACCTGATAAAATTGTTATAGTTCAAAAATACAGCCAAGAAAGTCACAATAATGTGAAATAAGACAATTGAAAACATTTATATATTTAGTGGGGTCCAAAAATCTGATACCACTAATGCTTGTATTTAGATTTTTTTTTTTAAACAATTTTTCATTACTACTAAAATCATCAGAATAACAATTTGAGTGAAAAGTTGAACTGAAAAATGAACACGAATGTCAGAATGTGTTTGGTTTGCCTCACTTTTGCTTTAAAGATTCAAACTGCATGAACTTCACAAGTGCTTCACTGGATCTTATCATCTGTACAAAGAGTTGCATGATCAATGTCACAAATTTGCTTGTATGATTAGTGACCAATAATACATTACAGAATATTTCTCAATACAGTGTCAGACTTTTGGACTCTACTGTAGCTCAGAAATAAACACAGACCTATCATCAGTAACAAAGCAAGCACAATGTATTGAAATAGCCCTACCGGAGATGCTCAGCTATTCTCCGTTGAAAGGACTTGGGTGTCCTCTTCTTCCTATGCAGAAGCTCTGAGTCAATATAGCCTTCATTGAATATGGGACGTTCCACGTGGTACATCAGTGCAGCGGACGGTTCCTCACTAGCAGTTACGAGCTCCATAGCAGCGGTGGAAACACAGGCATGTCAGGCTAGGATGACCTCGTGAATGCACTCGTGTACTTGCTTTACTTCCTCTTCCTGTTTTCAATGAATGGTAGAAAGAGAGCACTCTGTGAAGAAAGAACAGGGCTAAGAATCAACTTCAAACAAATGTATTTAATTCAAGCATGTTTTGTTGATCAGCTATTAGGTAACAAAACATTTTATGTCACACTGACAACCCCCTTGGTTTTATTTGGAGACTTGCAGTAGTCAGACTCTGCTGGTGTATAATTACAAGCCCTCAAAATAATCATGAATGACAGCCAACTTTAGCCCGTACAGTGATGATCTATCATGCAATAACATACTGGATATTTAATATACTTAAATGCTGCATCAAAAGCAAGCACAAAGAAACCAGCCTGCAAACCTATAAAATAACCTGCAGAAAAAAAATAAAATAAAAAAAATAAAAACAAAAATCTGATAAATATGTTTTGCCTTTTTTAATAATAATAATGATGATAATAGTTCATTTTATCCATTCAGAGAAACAAAAAAAAAGTTGCATGAAAATTACAATACATGGTTTTATGATTTAATGTGTCTAAAACACACAACCTGTCCTGAGGACACAGTGTTCAGCTTGAGCAATAACAACCTATCCATGGATCCAGTTCATTTTTAGCACAGTCCTCTGCAAATCACAAGACCATAGTAAAATGAAACGTACTGGAAGTGACTGATGCCAGTGGTGTAGGCCAATGTTGACAAAGCACTGGTATAAACATTACAAACGACAAGATAAACCCATGACATGCAAGGGTCATTCCGTGAAACAGCTGTCTTATCCATTTTGAAAAGGTTGGTTTTTAAATTTTTAAAACATTTGGTCACAAACAATGGGTTTAAGTGTTAAGAAATTGCATTGTGTCATCTCAACTTAAATGCAAAAAATACAACAATGATGTAAAGCTAAGTAACAGGGATGACGGCATCAGAGTTGCCAGTTTTACAGTTGGCAAAACTTATGAAGTGATCTTTATCAATTTATCTTATGTTTTGTTTGGTTTGTCAGGAGACACTAACTTGTCCTTGAAATGTTCACATCCTAAAATTATATCAGTATTCCATTTTATTTATTTTTTTATTTTTTTATGGAATTTACACCATCTTAATACCATGGTGCAAAACTTGGGGACACAACTTTGAGTCTTTTAGTAAAGTAAATCTGAAATAATAATAACATTTTTTTTGTTGCGTTTTTATGTAGTGCAGATTTAAATAAAATTAGCATTTTTGCTTATACATTCAGAAAAAGTAAGATTTACAGGGCTAGGGACAGACTGAAATGCATTCTCCTGAAGAAAGAAGACGAAAAAAAGCATTGAAAATTAAAGTTGCTGGATTTCATGGATTTGAAAAGATGCATTTAGAAAAATGCCTGTAACAGCACACAGTAAACGCTGTTTTTAGCTATTCATCGTTAAAGTCTTTGTTTACACATGTTTTTGAGGAAACATGACAAGAACAACCAAACATCATCTGACATATGCATATGTCAACAGTACAGTCATGATGTAATGACAAAGCGACTTCCAACATCGAACGTGTCTTTCTGCCACCCTCTGTTCCCTCACACTTTTAAAATCATAAGGAAACCAGAAATAAACATTTTTGGAGAGCGTCCTCGTTCTTCTCCACCCTACGACTCCACAAACCTGTTAAGCAGGTACAATATAGTGTAACTAAAGGGCTTTGCGCATTTATTGTAGTTTAAAGGAGGAGAAAAAAGCCTAAGCATCTTACCTCTCACCGCCTCAGTCCTGAAAATGACCCAAGGTCGGTGAACTGAGCTGAGAAGTGCGTGAGCATCGACAGTCCTGTTACTGTATAACATTTGAAAGCCCTTTAACTGCCGACCACAGCTGCGTCATCCGCTGCGCTGATAAGAAAAGCGCGACGTACCTCATGCGTCACTACTTACGCCAGAACAGCATCATGGGACATGTAGTTATTCACTAACTCAACCGTATCAGATAAACGAGATAAATACTGTTCATACGATATCCGGTAGATTATAGAGAGATTGTTAAACGCGTAATTATAGTTTTATAAGTAATTATGATCAGAACAAGCGCATTTTATACTAAATAAATAATTTTCTCTGATATAACAATGCAAGGTCGTAAATGCAATGTAAGCGCGCCATCTTGTGTAACAACTATGCAACAACAAATAATTCCAAGGTAAGCTATTATGTGTATTTAGACAGTCTTAGCTGGTTGAAGCTGGTTAAATATATTATACACACAAATTACAAAGATTTTTTTGATAGTTTTAAGGTGTTTATTTGTTTATTTTTTTTAATGCTCCAAACAGCTTAGCAGTACCTCACACTATACGATTTTAAATTTCGAGTTAAATTACCTAATAGACTTTGGGCAAACTGGGACAGATTCCAGGTTTCATCAAAAAGATAAAGAAAAAGAAGAAAGAAAAGCATTAATATGAAAGAATTTTTGTAAAATCTCATTTCTGATATCTTAAATCAAAATATAGCCTATCACAATCACAACATATCCTGAAATTATGTCACGACTAAACAAGTCTTTTTGAGTCATTCCATGCTAATTTAGGATGAACTTTTAAAATTTATTTTAAATTGTATACCATCATCATCATAATCGTCATCATAATAAGGATGATTACACTGTCCTATGTAGTCACCCTTGCGGCCTTCGGCTTAGAGCTTCAAATAGTCAGAATCACGTTACACTTTTAAAAGTAGAAATATTCAAATGATCTTACCTGTAGAGAAAACGTCAAGGTTTAAAAACCCAAAATCAGCATCTAGACTACTGTCTTTACAGCTATAGCGTTGCTCTGGCACATAAAACAAGAAAACATAACAGTGGTGCACTGAAGCTCTTCCGTGACAAATGACACCAGTCACTCTAAGACTGCACATCCTGGAGTTTTGAAATGCTATTTATAGGTTAGCTGTACAAGCCCATTGAATTTATTGCACAGAAATATGGCATTGCAATACTGATTTTTTTTTTTTTTTATTAGTATTGTGCAATCATTGAACAGAGAGGATGCCATGATATGAACCTTGTTCTGTCCCATTTCAACTCCAGAAGAACCATTTGTTCTTAGTGTGAATAGCATGTTAATAATCTGTACCTTTTTTTCACTATAAAAATTTTATGCAATGCAAAGGTTTTATGGATGTTAAAGGTTCTTCATGGAACCACAAATTCCAAAAAAGAACCTTCATTTTAAATACAGGTGGGGTTGTGAGGGGTCTCCAGGAGGGGTCAGCACCTCCATATAAATTCAATACGAGGATAACTAGTTCGTTAAGTATATACAGTGAACAAATAATCTTTACAGAATATTATAGAGTATGTTTTGCTCGGTCGCAACTTTAAAAAAGACTCTCTCTCACAGGTGACTCGCATAGTGGAAAAGAGGAAAAGAAACGCCCACTGGTGCTTCTAGCGTTCATGCGATGGGTGTTCGGCTTTCTCCGAGTTTTAAGACACAAGCCCAGATTCAAAGCGATCGATGCGTTCTTGTGATTTTAGTCGAGGGTGTTTAATGATCATAATGAGACTTGACGAGACGTTTTAGAAATAGCCGAGCGAATGATTTGATTCTGCAGGATGAAGATCTAGATAGATAATGTTAGGTGAACGCTGAAGGTTTGTAGGTGAGAGACATCACACACCTTTGATCATGCCAAGAACGAAATGCGACGAGGAGTTCACTTTCGTCAGTCCAGGGGTGAAATATTTACTTTTCTTCTTCAACATGATATTTTGGGTAAGTGTTGCTCATATTATATTATATTATATTATATTAAATATTAGACAATTTTTTTAACACTTTAAAAAAAATATGTACACTATATTATAGTACATTATGCACACACACACACAAAATATACTCTTTATATATAAGAACAAAAAGACTAAATACTGCATAGTTGTTTTTAACTCCTCCTCACATGAAGTGGTTTAATGATTAATGTTTTACCAAATGACTCTTCAAACTCCTACTTTTTAATGCACAACCACGAAGCAAGCTTTGCATTTAGACAAACAGAATTAATGTACTTAGTTGACGTCCAGACTGAATAATGGTCAAATTAGTCTAACAGAGATTTAAAAGCAGCTTGACCTGTATTCATAAAGGCCAACCTGCTTTAATGGAGTTTAGTATGAACAAACACTAAAAACATCACCCATGGGCATGTCTCAACACCAATGTGTATTACTGCACCTCTACTAGATTCTCAGAATACCTCGAAAAACACAGAACAGTTCATGACACACAGTACAGGAGCCTAACCTGTTTGATCTTGACTTGATAAACTGAGAAACACTCGGGGAACTGCCTGCATTTTGCATTTTCGCAATAAATTGGGCCTGCTGTGCAATAAGATCTTTCTAGAATAATAATGAGTTAGATCTCATCAACAAAACCCTCTTTTGTGAAGTTCTTGATAGTGCCAGTTTACTTTCCCAAACTTTTTTAAACTTGTGGCTGTTGCTAAGCAGCGGGTCTCATTGATTCATATGCTGATAGAGCGATGCAGGGTGTTTGGATGAGTGGGGGCCCCATGCTTCCTTTATTTGTTGCCCTGTAGCATTTACTGAATAATAGACCTTAATGAATAACGCCTCTTCAGAGGGAGAATCAGACACCAAAAATATTTAAAACAGGCTTTGATACTTCAGTTGTTTGCAGAAAGGCATCAAAATTACTATTAAGCTCCTAACAATTTATATGGACAGCTGACTGAGATATTAGAGTGTATTGCATTCTTGCTGGTGCAAAAAATGCACATGCAAATACCTAAGGAGATTTCATGCTCAAAGCCTCAAGAACAACTCGGTTTTTACTATAATGCAGTATAATACTGAGAAATTGCTGCACTGTACAAAAAAAGGTCCAAATCATCTTGTTTCGGTGTTCATCTGTGCACATTTGTGCTCCTTTTAGTGGTACAAATTGTAACGTAGATCGGCGTACCATAGAGATTGTTTCCTTACTCTTATAATATGAGTTTTTTTTTTTTTTTTTAACATTATTAAATGTTAATAAACATTTATTAAATGTTTTAATAAATGTATAAATAGCTCCTTCATGTAACAACTAGGATCTTTTCTAGCTTTAAAGGGATCTCATTCTAAGAATACAGACACTGATTTCTCAGAGAAAAACGATATGGAGTTTCGTAGTAACCTGATAGCTGTGTCAGTAAAAGGGGGCTACATTGTGTCAGACAAACTGGGACCTTTTGTTGTGTGAGAAACAGAAAGTGAACGAACCTTCCCTTACGAAAATTAACCATGGTGTTATTGTAGTAAAAGTGTAGTAACCATGTTTTTTTAGCGTATTGATTACCATTTGTATAACCACAGTTTTACTACAAATACCATGGTTAAACTACTGGTGTAGCAAAACCATGATTAATTTGTGGTTATCATGGTTTCCTGTACTCTTTCTTCTCATGAACTTTCACAAATGCTGATATAAGTACGTACAAACTGCATAAATCCTCCGCTCTTTTATTTCTTGGTCTTGATCAGGTTTTTTTCACAATAGCTACAGTTTGATGTGCAACAGGCCCCTCACTAAACAGTGAACTTAAACTTGACAATAAGTCTTTACTTAGTCAAGCCATTTACACACTTAAGTCCTTTTTTATTTAGCAAAACTAATGAATAAGGATTTGTTCCTGCCACACCCTGAAGAGAAACAACATTAGAATCATCCTGTTTCTGTACAACATCTGTTTAAACATACACTCACGGTTTATCTGTGTTATAGGTAATTGCACTGATCCTGATATCTATTGGAGTTTATTCCAGGATAGTTAAACATGGTAAGTGTGTTTACTTGAAAGACCACTGGACAGCAGAACAGAGTTTATAACCTAAGATATCTGTATTTATGTAGCTTTCTTCCTAGACGTTGAAGCTACTTTATATGGTGATGCTGCTAACATAAGCAGTTTTTCCACAACAAAGTGTAAAAGCAGCAAGTAAGCTACGGGAAAGGAGCTTATAAATGTTATATTATAGACTAACTTTATCTAATGAATATAAAAGCAAAGATTTTGTAGCTTGCTTCAAGTTTTAGCTATATCATCAAAGATATTCACTTGACAAAGTTTCAGGAAGCCTGATTCAGAATGGCAGTCAACTGTAACTTATACTGACACCTGGTGGTTGTAAAGGAGCATTATGCAAAAGTACTAGTTTTCAGTAACCAGTGCTTCTGTAGAAAGTTAGGCATTAATAATTTAATCCACAATGTCCATTAATATAGGGGTTACCGAGATACAGTGAATCTTTTATAGATCAAATTGTGTATATACAGTGTTATAGATAACGCCATAGTGCCATGAAAGCGGTCCATCTATCTGATATGTCTGTTTTACTCTACAGAGGCAGCGCTGGCCTGTCTGACGGTGGATCCTGCTCTGTTACTGATGATAGTGGGCATTCTCATGTTCTTCATCACATTCTGCGGCTGTGTGGGTTCTCTGAGGGAAAACATATGCTTACTGCAGACGGTCAGTACTAAAACCAGCTGCCTGATCAGAATTGTTACATCAGGACAGGACCATTTCTTTGTCTGCTTTTCAGACATTTTAGATGGTTTTGATCATATTACAGCACAGTAATTTTTAGTCAGGGACACAGTTGGTTCTTAGTGGAGATAAAACTACAAGATACATTTTACATAGAAATTTTAAAACATAAAACAAACCCTAATATCAAACTCTAATTCCTTTGCAGTTCTGCATCATCCTAACTATCATCTTTCTGCTGCAGCTAGTGGCTGGTGTTCTGGGTTTTGTCTTCTCAGACAAGGTAAAAGTCATCATGAATGACATTAGTATGCTTATGCCAATGCCACAAGCCTGGATATATGTTAATGTGAACTTGGGTTGTATTTACTCAAGTAGCCGATGCTCATTTAATTCTCCATTCAGAGAAACAAAAAAAAAGTTGCATGAAAATTACATTACATGGTTTTATGATTTAATGTGTCTAAAACACACAACCTGTCCTGAGGACACAGTGTTCAGCTTGAGCAATAACAACCTATCCATGGATCCAGTTCATTTTTAGCACAGTCCTCTGCAAATCACAAGACCATAGTAAAATGAAACGTACTGGAAGTGACTGATGCCAGTGGTGTAGGCCAATGTTGACAAAGCACTGGTATAAACATTACAAACGACAAGATAAACCCATGACATGCAAGGGTCATTCCGTGAAACAGCTGTCTTATCCATTTTGAAAAGGTTGGTTTTTAAATTTTTAAAACATTTGGTCACAAACAATGGGTTTAAGTGTTAAGAAATTGCATTGTGTCATCTCAACTTAAATGCAAAAAATACAACAATGATGTAAAGCTAAGTAACAGGGATGACGGCATCAGAGTTGCCAGTTTTACAGTTGGCAAAACTTATGAAGTGATCTTTATCAATTTATCTTATGTTTGGTTTGGTTTGTCAGGAGACACTAACTTGTCCTTGAAATGTTCACATCCTTCTGGGTTTTGTCTTCTCAGACAAGGTAAAAGTCATCATGAATGACATTAGTATGCTTATGCCAATGCCACAAGCCTGGATATATGTTAATGTGAACTTGGGTTGTATTTACTCAAGTAGCCGATGCTCATTTAATTCTAAACTGCGTCTTTAATTTGTTTGATTTACCTTTAATTCTTCAGATTACAGTATCGTATTTTAGTGCACTGTTAAATCCTCCTGTCTTTGTGTATGCTTTGTATAGACAGGCTTAAACAGTCTGGGCATGCTGTAACAAAACCCACAGTCACAAACATTCTGGATTTTTAGTTGACACGTTGCACCCTCTACTGTCTGTCACTTACCAGTGTAATGTGTCTAACAACAACAAATGACCAAAGATGAACAAGCACTAACGTTAGATGACAATTCTAATATATATACTAATGTTTTCAATTCAATTTATCCTCTACAGGCACGTGGAAAAGTAACAGAAATGGTTGACAACGCCATCAAGCATTACAGGGATGATATAGATCTTCAGAACCTCATCGACTATGGACAAAAACAGGTCAGGGTTGTGTATAAATGTATAATACATCATAATAGTTGGTAAAAGTTGATAATGATGTTTTTGTTTTATGATATGAACAGTTTAACTGCTGTGGGGGAATCTCCTACATGGATTGGTCTCAGAACATGTACTTCAATTGTTCAAAAGAGAACCCGAGCAGAGAGCGTTGTTCTGTGCCCTTCTCCTGCTGTCTGCTCTCCAAAGAGGAGGTGAGAAAAGGCTCCAAAAAGGATGTTTGCAGTTTTTTTTATGATTATATATGTAATATGCGACCCTGGACCACAAAACTAGTCATAAGGGCCAATTTTATGAAATTGAGATTTATACATCACATGAAAGCTGAAAATAAGCTTTCCATTGATGTATGGTTTGTTAGGATAGGACAATATTTGGCCGAGATACAACTATTTGAAAATCTGGAATCTGAGGGTGCAAAAAAATCTAAATATTGAGAAAATCGCCTTTAAAGTTGTCAGATGAAGTCATTAGAAATGCATATTTCTAATCAAAAATTAAGTTTTGATATATTTACGGTAGCAAATTTACAAAATATCTTCATGGAACATGATCGTTACTTAATATCCTAATGATTTTTGGCATAAAATAAAAATCGATAATTTTGACACATACAATGTATTGTTGGCTATTGCTACAAATATACCCCAGCGACTTAAAACTGGTTTTGTGGTCCAGGGTCGCATATATTTAAATATGTCCAAAATTATATTTGAAATGTATTAAAATATAATTAAATCATTAAATAAATATGTTCAATATTATAATATTTAATTATCATGTTATAAATATATTAAATGCCATTAATAATGCTGGTATTTACTAATATATTTTATTTTTATTTTATTTATTTATTGGTTTATTTAATAGGGACCATGCACATTCATGAACATTGTTGTATAAATATACACCATGTAAATATGCCAGAATTAGTAACAATAACTACTTTTCATTTAATCATATTAAATGTCCCTTCCCCTAATACCACTTTGCCTTTTTTTTCTGTTTTGTCAGACTGTTATAAATACCATGTGTGGTCATGGGGTGCAGCAGCTGGAATATCTTGCAGCTAGTGCCTTCATTAACACCAATGGCTGCATTGATAAAGTGGTGAACTGGATCCACAGTAACCTGTTTCTGTTGGGGGCTATCGCACTGGGCCTGGCCATCCCACAGGTACCTCTTGACATGGAATAAGCAATCAGTCTGCTTAAAATGATATGTTAAAACAATCTAAATATCATTGTGGGTGACCTTAGATGTCGTCCGATCGCAAACTGACTGACTTTAAGCATCTATGTTTGGATTTCGTTTGTACTGACAGCTTGATCTCTTCTCTTTTTCAGTTGGTTGGGATCCTCCTCTCTCAGATCCTTATTAATCAAATCCAGGATCAGATTAAACTACAGAATTACAACCAACAACATCGCTCAGACCCCTGGAGCTGAAACAGTCGAGAAAAAACTAAATGCGTTTTTATAGAAAGCTTGGGAACTCATAGCTGCCTGAAGTGACTGACATGGACTGGATTCTGAATAAGGAGAACTGGGCTTAAGAACAGGCAACCAAGACATGTTTTCATATGTAAGGTCAATTGCATGATATTTTATAAACCAGAATATTTATAGGAATAGTGTAAGACAAACTAAAGATCAAGAGGTCAATAAAACTATTTTGTAATATTTTATGAACACAAAATGTTTTTAAGGTGTGTGATCCTAGCAAAGGATGGTGTGTAAACTAGTGATATTTATTGATTTCCAGTATGGACATTTAAAAAAAAAAACTTGTGTTGGTAGATATTATGAACATCTGAGATCTAAATAGAAATGAAAGTATTTTTATTCACCATTATATTTTGCTTAAAAATTCACTTTATAACAAGTCTAAACAGTCATATGTCCTTCTTAATTTCCATATTATTTCATATTATTTAAGTATTATTTCAAAGGATATATTTTTAAAATGCACAAAACATTTAAAGAGCATTGCTTATATTATAACATAGCTCACTAATCAACTCACTCCATGCCATTTGGCTGTGATCTTTCTGGAATGACTAAATATGGCCATAAAAAAACCTGCTTATAGTCTGAACAAACACAACATGCTTGAGTTGGCCAGAGATTCAAGTGTTTACTTTGCTGTTGATACGCAGACAGTGGTGAGTGTCCTCCTTCCGTTTGTACAATATCCTGTTCATTATGGATACACACAATAATGGATGTTACTGTTTATGTGGTGTTTTATTTATCTCTTTTTATTAAAAAATTTAAATAAAATATTTTTTAAAAATATAAATATTCGTCTCATTCTCATTATTATTATTAATGAATACTTATATTTTAACAAAAAAACTATACTTTTATAATTAATACATTTTAATATTTTAACAAAAGGAAACAGTGTTTTTCTGTTTTAATAACATTATTATTACTAAAAACACATTTCATACATATTTGAACAGAAGGAAACTTTGTAGGTATTATTATTATGGTGTTACGGAGACATAAATACGCATACAAACATAATTTTTCTCAATTTCATTAGCCTCTACATTCAAATAATTCACCTGCAGGACATATTCCAAGGCTGTAATCTGACTACTGAGTATTACTGAGTTGCACATGGATGCTCAGGGTTTTTTTTTATTGGTGGTAAGTTTAAGTCTAACAAACGTTACAAAGACACATTCATAGACATGGGAGGAAATGCATACCAGGTGCAGTGAAACCAAGAGTGAAGTGTACTGAGAACAGCCTAGAGCCGGTAACTCATGAGGCCTTTTTTCAAAACTCATTTGGAAATCCAAACAGTGTGGCAGACACCTTCAGTTTGTTAATGTTGTTTAAACGCCAGTGTGAAAAAAAACACTGAAATATGAGAACACCGCAGAGGTATTTTATGTCAATGTATAGGAAAGCAATAGACTGTGTGTGTGCGAGAGAAGGTGAGGGAGGTAGAGGTTTTGGGCCAGGCTCTCCCATTTAGAGCTTGAGTGTGTTTGTGTGTGGTCCCCGGTCTGTGCCTCCCTCTGACTCATTCTACAGCGGCCATGTTAGATGGGCTTTTTAAGGAGGCCCTGTGTTGGGAACACGCAGCATAGCTTACCAACCGCATCGACACCAACAAGTGCTTCTGTCTAAATCTGATACACCAAACTACACAAAGTTTATTCCCATCCCTTTAGAATTCCTTTTAGTTTCCATGGAAACAGACAAATTGGAGCTTTGCATTGTACACATGGGAATAAGATGAAAATAATGATTTGAAATGATTAAATGAGATAAACGCAGTCATGAATCACAATGACAAGGTACTCGCCAACATAAAACATACCACAAGGTTTCACTCAGATTGACACTGTGGAATTGTTTCAAGTAGCCTATTTTTTGTATTACTGTGGATTGTTTTTTGTGTATGTATTGTGTATCCAGTAGATTGTGTTCTTCATTACATGACAGTAGAGCTTTTTTACCATCATTACATTTGTGTATATAGTGAATTGCCAACATCCTGTTCCTCTCCCATCACTATGGAAGCCCATTTCTGCCACAAAAGGTGGGGGGCAAATGGTAAATCATAATTAGCACATAAGTCATAATTATGACATAAAAAATTGAAATTATGAGACCACAAGTCATGTTTATAACAAAGTCAAAATTATGAGATACAAAGTTGCAACAGATAAAGAAATATTTTTTTGAGATACTAAGTAATAACTAAAATGAATGTTGAATGAAACATTTGAAGTTGATCAAAACCTTTAATCAAAGTTGTCCTAAAACCAAAATGCATTCTTATCTTAGGACAACTTTGCTGAACTTTTTTGATCCACTTCAAATGTCGACTACTGTATATATATATATATATATATATACACACACATACACACATATATATATATATAAAGAAATAAAAATTGAGATACTAAGTAATAGCTAAAATGAAAGAAAAAAAATTGCCAAAAAGCCAAATTTATGAGATTAAAAAGGTTTATATATATATATATATATATAGTCAGTCATTATTTTTTTTATGAGAAAATTATTCTTATATAAAATAAATAAAGGCAAATATCAGAATGCAGCGGGTAAATACGATAAGATCAGACATGAGGGCAGGTATGAGTGAAGCATGTAAATATTCTGTAGGCTGGCATAGATTGCTTTACCCCAGCATGAGGGGGATGGGAGGGGAACAGAAGTTTTTGTTATTTGTGTGTATGTGCACCCCCTCCTTGTGCATACCAGAGTCAGGAAAAAACCGGATTCCTGTGAAAGTGTAAGACATTTTGGGATCACTGGATCTCAGGTCTCTGTCTGATGAGCAGATGAGTTCTGACAACATTTCTCGCACTTTGCTGTAAACTGGGGGACGCGGGGGCGCGCTCGCTGGGGACGGAGCGCGCAGCCCCAGGATCAAGTTACAGTCCCAGTCCCAGACTTTTCAAGGCAACATTTTTTCCTCCATCACAAAAGTGGGGGATGGTGAACGCTATTTGGTTTCTTTACAATTTAGAGTAACGAAAAACGCAGCTGGGGTAAACTTCGTGCTGGAATTTAAAACGCAACTTTTGTTTACAGATTTCACGCACCGCGTTTGTACGATGAAGAGATTTTCAATAGTATGTGAGAGAGAAAGGAGGCATAAAAAACTTTGGAATCGGACAAAAAGACACTTCTTTTAAAGGGGAAAATGTCGAATCGGGAATCTAGGAAATATCCACACTTTGACTTGGTTTGAAGCGCTTCGCGCGCGAGTGGAGACCGACCGTTTATTTGGAAACATTTGATGAAACATCGCTACATTGTTGGGTCTCCAAGATGTCCTCCAAGCGCCTCTGCTCCATTGTTGAAAGCTTTTGGATGCTTTGGATCTGGGCAGCAACCTCTATAATCGCTCAGGCGGTCATCTTGCATCCAAATGACACGATATTCAACGACTTTTGTAAGAAATCCACAACTTGTGAAGTATTAAAATACAATACGTGCCTTGGCTCACCTTTGCCGTACACGCACACGTCTCTGATTCTGGCTGAAGACTCAGAAACTCAAGAGGAAGCCTTGGAGAAATTGGCCATGTGGTCTGGTAAGTTACTGTTTTATTATGTAATACATAGAAATGCATTTTTTTATTCCTATGTTCCCCTTTAGGGACAATTAAATAATTTAGTAACTGTAAGTCTGAATAAAATCAATTTAATATTTAACATTTTTTTATTGTATGTCAGTTTTGTATTGTTGAATATTGCTGAACACATTATGTTTCCAACGCAATTCACATGCAAATTGGTTGGAGTAAAAGATATGTTTTGCAGAACATTAAAAAAAAATTTTTTTTTAAATGTGCCTTTATGATTTTGCCATTCATATTAAACAAAGTTAATTACAATAAATTATATGACAAGATACAGTTTTAAATGACTTTTGCATCAGTTATTAATGCCATCATGTTCTTAATTTTCACAACAGCCCCATAATGAGCAATTCACCTCCTTCCTCTCACATTCACACCTTATTCCCAAATTTTCCTGTATTGTTCCTGAAAGTCCATTGCCCATGGGCCATTTCCTATAAGCACGAAAAAGAAAACTACTTTACCAAGGCTTTAAATATCCACTAGATGCAGATAACTTTATAAATATCCTCATTTAACTCTATAAATATTATTTTGACAAACTGTCAGATGTTTTCTCAGACAATCTCCCAATCTCTTGTGTTCAGGGTTGAGAAATGCTCCTCGCTGCTGGGCCGTCATTCAACCGATGCTGTGTGCCGTTTACATGCCAAAATGTGAAAATGGAAAGGTCGAGCTGCCCAGCCAGCACCTGTGCCAAGCTACACGCAAACCTTGCAGTATTGTGGAGCGGGAGAGGGGCTGGCCCAACTTCCTCAAGTGTGAAAACAAGGAGCAGTTCCCTAAGGGTTGCCAGGTAAGTCACCCATTTGCATACGCCCAAAAAGTTTGGTCTGGATTGCACACGATGTGACCAAATTTGGACTTTCAGAATGAGGTCCAGAAGATCAAATTCAACACTTCAGGACAGTGTGAGGCTCCCCTGGTCAAAACCGACATCCCGGCAAGTTGGTACAAGGATGTGGAAGGTTGTGGGATCCAGTGCAACAATCCCCTGTTCACGGAAGACGAGCACTCAGACATGCATAACTACATTGCCATCTTCGGCTCCATCACTCTCCTATGTACCTTCTTTACGCTGGTAGGTTAACCGGTGAAGACGGGTTTTCAGTCTCAGGCTGGCTGACTTCCTGGTGTGCAGTATTTCTGACAGAAAGTAGTTCAAGTTTGGGCTGCAGTCTTTAATTTTGGATGTTATTCCTGCTTACAATTTCCCACAGGCCACATTTCTCGCCGACTGGAAGAATTCCAACCGTTACCCCGCTGTGATCCTCTTTTACGTCAACGCATGTTTCTTTATCGGAAGTATTGGATGGCTTGCTCAGTTCATGGATGGAGCCCGCAAGGAGATTGTGTGCAAAAGCGACGACACTATGCGGCTTGGAGAGCCATCGTAAGTATGAAGCCAGTGGAAAATCCACAGATTGGATTACATTAAATTAGAGTTATGCTGCATATTACAAATATTGACTGTCAGGAACATTTGATAGCCAAGAAAAGTAACTGGACTGAACAATAATAATAATATAATTATGACTTACCAGATGAATATTTCAAATGTGTTAGTATGAATAATGCCCATTTTCCATGCCTTATTTTTCTCTAGATCCACCGAGACGCTGTCGTGCGTGATTATCTTCGTCATTGTGTATTATTCGCTAATGTCTGGAGTCATTTGGTTTGTTATGCTCACTTATGCCTGGCACACATCGTTCAAAGCCCTGGGCACCACCCATCAGCCTCTGTCTGGAAAAACATCCTATTTTCACCTGGTCACATGGTCTATTCCTTTCATTCTGACAGTTGCTATATTGGCCATTGCAGAGGTGAGGCTTTTTTTTTTGTACGGTTAATATCAGCATATTCACAGTGGTTTATTTTGACACTATGAAATATTCCACAGGTGGATGGAGATTCGGTTAGCGGCATTTGCTTTGTTGGCTATAAGAACTACAGATACCGAGCAGGGTTTGTTCTGGCTCCTATCGGGGTGGTCCTTGTTGTTGGCGGCTATTTCCTAATACGAGGTGAGATATTTTCAATTTGTTTGACAGTTGCACATGGCATAAAGACATGGTTTCATCAGTGTGGACTGATACAAGACTGTTGT